CTAAACTGTCCAATTTTCAACAAAAATATTGTAAGACATGCCCAAAAAACACAAAACAAAATAGGGAAGTGTGACCTATACTCAGATGAAAAAAGTAGTCAATAGAAACTGACTGAACAGGCTCACATGTTGAATACAGCAGACAAAGACGTTCAAAGAGCTTTTTAAATATGTTCAATAAATTAAATGACACGACTGTTCAAAGAATTAAAAGTGTGATGATAATGACTTATCAAATAGGGAACATCTATGCAGAAATGGACAATTTTTAAAAGAACTAAATGGAAATTCTAGAGATATGAGATGGGACAAGAATGAATCAGTGCACTTAAACTACAGCAACAGAAATAATCAAATCTAAAGAAAATAGAGAAAAAATGTTGAAGAAAAATGAACACACACTCAGAGACCTGTGGCATAACATCAAGTGTACCAACATATATATAATGGGACTTCTGGAAGGGGAGGAGAGAGAAAATGGGGAAGAAAAAATATTTGAAGAAAATATGGCCCCAAACTGCCTAAATTTCATGAAAAATCTTAATTTATAAAAGAAGCTCAACCCCAAGTAAGATTTTAAAAAGAGATCCACACCTAGACTCGTTGCATTAAAAGATGTGCAAGACCTGTATGCCAAAAGCTACAAAACATTACATAGAGAAATTAAAGAACTAATGGAAAGACATTCCACATTCATGGATTGGAAGACTTGATGTTGTTAATATGGCATTTCGTCCCAGATTGACCTATATACTCAATGCAATCACTATCAAAATCCCAGTAAGATTTTTTGTACAAATTGACAAGTTGATCCTAATATGTATATGGAAAAGCAAAGGACCTAGAATAGCCACAAGTTTTTGAAGAACAACAAAGCTGAAGGAGTTACTCTACCTAATTTCAAAATATACTAAAAATCTATACAGTATATGATATTGGTTTGTTTACTTTAAAGATAAAGATAGCCTAGAAATCAATGGAACACAACAGACAGTTCAAAAAAAAACTCCAAATTTTATAACTGATTTATTTATACAAAATTTCTAGAAAAGGCAAAGCCATAGGGATAGAAATCTTATCAGTCATTCCCTGAGTGTTGGACTGGAGGTGAGAACTGACTACAAATGGGCATGAGAGGATTCTGTGGAGTGAAGGAAGTATTCTAAAACTGCACCTGGGGCTGGTATAGATTTACCAAAAATTACTGAACTGCATGCTTACAATGTACAAATTTTATGTTAGGTAAATTAAACATCAATAAAGCTTTTTAAAAGATGACAAAGGTATTTTTTAAACTATGCATTTGGAAAATTCAAAATACACTACTAAATATCTCATATGTTAAAGAGGAAATCATAATAATTTAAAATCTTTAGAACTGAATAATAATGTAAATACTACACAGCAAAACTCGAGTGCTGCAACTAAGATACTGCATAAAGAGAGATTTAAAACTTTAAATATGTATACTTTTAGGTTCAACCATATGGAAGAGCAAATATTCGACCTAATAGATAAGAAAGGCTGAATGTTATGCATTAAATGTCCACCTTTATAAAGGTTAAAAGAATATTACATGACCCATAAAAAGCAGGGGAATAGAAATAAAGATAAGTACAGCAATTAATGAACAGAAAATAAAGTCATAAGAAAGAGGACCAACAAAGCCAAAATCTAAACCTTTGAAAAAACAACCAACCCCTGGTAAGACTGATGAAAAGAGAGAAGGCACAAGTGTAAATAATATTATGAATTAAAAGATAATACTTTAAATAATTGTATGCTCTAAATTTTAATACTTAGACAAAATGGATAAATCCCTAGAAAATGCTGCTAACCCAAAATGACTAAATAAGAATAGTCCTATAACGAGTAAAGGAACTGAATCAGTAGTTAAATTATTTTTTTCAAATATAAAACACCAGAACTCAGAACAAGTGAGTCCTACCGTAATTAGCAGTGACAGATTATTTAAATCTTATAAATACCTCCAAAGAATCCAAAGAGAGAGAACATGCCCCAGCTCAGTGTACAAGGACAGTAATCATCTTGATGCCCAGCTAGGTTAAGTATAGGACAAGAGAGGCCAACATCATAAATGCAGACATTCCAAGCAAATTATTAGCACACTGAATCTACAAGAATAATATAAACAGAATTCAACATAACCAAGATGAGTTTATCTAAGGAATTCAAGGTGGTTTAATACTAGAAGTTTCCTAATGTATTTCACCATATTAACTGATTAAAGGATAAAAAAATCATGATTATCTCAACAGGTGCTGGAGAAGGACTGTTAAAAACTCATAACCACCTAGACATAGACGGGAACTTCCTTAACCTGATAAAGGTTATCTACCTTTACAGCAAACATCATTGCTATAGAAAGACACTTCCTTTAAAATCAGTTGTTTTATTCCCTCTTGTTGTAGAGCTTCTAGCAAGTGCAGCAACACTAGTAAAAGGTGTAGAAGACAAGTGACTTAGAAAGGTAATAAAACATTATTCACAGATAATGTGATTATATTAAAGAGAATCTATAATCTACTGGAATTGAGTCTAGTTAATTGGCCAGATCTAAAACCAATAATATACCCAAATCTACTTCATTTCTACACAGTATCAACAGTTAGAAAATATAATTTTAAAAGTTAACAGATGTCACACCCATAAGGATGACTTATCAAAAAGTCAGACAAGTGTTGACAAGTATGTGAAGAAATTAGAACCCTCATACACTGTTGTGGGAATATAAAATGGTGCAGCTGCTTTGGAACAGTTTGGCAGTTTTTCAAAAATTCAAACATAGAGTTATCAAATGACTCAGCAATTCCACTCCTAGGTAGATAACCAAGAGAAATGAAAACATCTGTCCACACAAAACCTGTATTTGAATGTTCATAGCAGCATTATTCACAATAACAAAAAAATGAAAACAATCTAAATGTCCATCGACTGAGGAATAGATAAAATGTGGTACAGTCATACAATGGAATACCACCCACCCATAAAAAGGAATGAAGCACTGATACCTACTACAACCTTACGCTAAGTAAAATAAGCCAGAAACAAAAGCCCACGTATAAAAGAATGTCCTTGTTCTTAAGAACTACACACTGAAGTATTTAAGAGTACAAAGGCACAATGTCAGCCATTCAGTCTTGGATGATTCAGAAAAATTTACACACATGCACACACACAGTACAACTGGTAACGCAGCGTGACAAAAAGTAAGCTCCTGGTGAGTCTAAGTAAAGGGTATTTGACAATTCTTGGTAACCAAAGTTAATGGAAGTTAACATTTACCGTAATACCAAAATGATTAAATAGCTAAAAATAAATCTAGCAAAAGATTGCAGGCCTTTGATGGAAAAAAATTCCTAAAACATTTCTAAAAGGCATTAAAGAATACCTAAGTAAACAGACAGATTGGTAAACTTTATGCCTGAACAGGATGACTCAATACATGAAAAATGTCAATTGTTTCTGAAAAACTGAGGGAAAAAAAAAACAGGTAATGATAAAACCCTGACGTGAGTTTTGAGACAATTAAAAAGCTCATTCTAAATGACACAAGATTAGCCAAGACACTCCTATGGAAGAAAACTATGCTGGAGAAGTTGCCATCCAGAAATCAAGGTTTATCCTAAAACCATGGTAATTTAGTCAGTGTTACATCTGTGCAAGAATATTCTAAGTGACCAGCAGAACAGACTAGAAAACCCAGACGTCTACTTCTGGGCTCTCTCTTCCTATTCACTTGGAAAATCTCTGGTTACTTTGAATTATCCCGCACCAACACCCCACTGGTATTGGTAGCATCAGTATCCTTCATAAACTGGGTGGTAGAGTCACGGGGGTTCTCTTCTATTACAGTCTATAACTTACATGTGCCATATATTCTTTTATATACAGCCAGTGCTACCTTAATTATTTTAAAATAAAGGGCAGAAATGTGGCTGACCTTTAGGAAGCCTCAGTGCAGGAATGTGAATGCCATCAGGACATACTTTATTTTCAGTTCCTACTCCTGTTCTCTCTGTATGTTGACTTTATTTTCTCAGCATGCCTGTCCTCATAGGGCTGGAACTATGGCTACAGGCTGCTTTGAACTTATAGCTAAACAGTCATGTGACTGGGGTGAAAAAGGTTCTTCTCTGGCAGCTCCAGTTTTAAAATGCTGGATAAGTATTCCAATTGGCTAGACTTCTTCCAAATATATTCACCTTTAGACCAGTCGGTGCAACCAGGAGAATGGAATTCTGTAAACGGAACAGTTGGGTCATTTGCCCACCTGCATCCAGCCAAGGGGATAATGTCCATTACTTGAAAAGTTGGAGAAGGATGTGGGGCACACAAATATTCGGTTATCACATGTGATAACTGTAACTCTGAAGCAGGTTGATTGGACCAGATGCTGCTGTTACAGTGGCTTTTCTATGGATAAATCTTACAATAATCTGTCCTTTAATGGTTCCTGAAGTATTATTTTGCAGTTTCCTATCTTTCTTACAGCAAAGAACCACTTCATGTTCAGGAATTAGCAGAGAAGTTAGGGAAGTACATGAATTAAAAATCTGTTCTATTTTCATGTTCAACATTCTTCAAGACTTAGCATCATTAGAAAATTTAATAAAAATTATTCACAATTCACAACTTAACATGGCCTCAGTATTTACCTCTTTAGCCCTTGACAATTTTTATATAGCTCTATTTTGTAAAAGCCATAGATCCTTTTGTGAGATCTTCAAGAAATACAGAAGAGCAAAGATAACAAAAATAACCTGAAATTCCTACCATCTAGAGAAAACTGTCATTAACATTTGGTGAACTTTGTTCTGCAATCTTTCTAGGCATACATATACATGCATACACACACAATTTTAGATAATTGTTCAATCAGTCACTTTGGAAAGAAAAACTATTCAACATGAGCATTTTATATTTCTGTCAAAATGTCTGCTCTCCAAAATAATTTACTGGTATTTTTTTGTTAATAGGTAATATTACAAAAAAATTACAGGAAGCAGAAGTGCATTATATTTCTCGAAATTTCTGTAATTCTGAGAAGAGTTATGGGGGAATAATTCCTAACACTTCGTTTTGTGCAGGTGATGAAGATGGAGTTTTTGACACTTGCAGGGTAAGACCAAATAATTTGCCTTAGAAATATTTTCTGAAGACAAAAGTGAACTTAAACAAGTCCTTTGATCACTTTCTAGTGAAGTCTTAATTCTCAAATCTATAAGTACTAACTTATTTTTTTCCTTTTTAACTATTTCAGTAATCCAAATTGTCTTCCTTACCTGATTCCTTGGTTTCCTAGTCATGGTTAACCAAATTTTGCCTTGAATCTTTCATTTTTTTTTATTACTACTTTTATTGAGATATAATTTACATATGTACAATTCACCCATTTAAAGTGTGCTCAGTGGGGTTTTAGTATATTTACAGAGTAGTGCAACCATCACCATAATCTAATTTTAGGACACTTTTGTCACCCCCCCCCAAAAAAAACCTCTCTACCGATTAGGAGTTACTCCCCATTCTCCTCTCACCCACCCAAGCCCTAACCTCTAGAAATTTGCCTATTCTGGAAATTTCATATGAATGGAATCATTCAGCACTGTAGGTCTTCTGTGTCTGGCTTCTTTCACTTAGCATGTTTCCAAGGTTCATCCCCACTTAGCATGTATTAATACTTTGTTCATTTTATTCCAAATAATACAATTTTGTATGGATATACTACATTTTAATTCTGAGAAGAGTTTTTTATTCATCCATTTTACTCGTCCATTCATTAGCTGATGGACATTCGAGCTATTTCTACCTTTTGGGTACTATGAATAATGTTGCTATAAACATTTGTGTATATGTTTTTATGTGTAGGTATGTTTTTCTTTCTCTTGGAAATTCTACCTAGGGGTGGAATTATTGAGTCAATGTTTAGCATTTTGAAGAATTACCAAACTCTATTCTACAGTGGCTGCACCATTTTACATTCTCATCCAGCAATGTATGAGAGTTTCAGTCTCTCCACAACCTTGTCAGCACTTGTTATTGTCTGTCTTTTTCAAATTGAAATATAGTTGATTTACAATACTGTGTTAGTTTCACTTGTACAGCAAAATGATTCAGTTATTTATAGAGAGAGAGATTATTTTCTACTATAGGTCATTATAAGATATTAAATATAGTTTCCCGTGCTATACAGTAAATCCTTGTTGCTTATCTATTTTATGTATAGTTGTTTGTATCTGTTAATCCCATACTCCTAATTTATCCTTCCCCCACTCCCTTTCCCCTTTGGTAACCAGTTTGTCTTCTATGTCTGTGAGTCTATTTCTGTTTTATATGTAGATTGATTTGTATTATTTTTTAGATTCCACACATAAGTGATACATAATATTTCTCTTTCTCTGTCTGACCTACTTTACTTAGTGTAATATCCTCTAGGTCCATCCATGTTGCTGCTGCAAATGGCAGTATTTCATTTTTAATGGCTGAGTAATATTCCATAGTATATATACACCACGTCTTCTTAAACCATCATCTGTTGAAGGACACTTGGGTTGTTTCCATATTTTGGCTATTGTAAATACTGAACATTGGGAGTGCATGTATCTTTTCAAACTAGAGTTTTGATTACAGCCATCCTTGTGGGTGTGAAATGGTATCTCATTGTGGTTTTAATTTGCATTTACTTAATGACCAATGATGCTGATGCTGCATGAGCTTATTAGTCATTTGCATATCTTCTTTGGAGAAATGTCTATTCAGAGCCTTTGCCCATTTTTATTTTGAGTTATTTATCTTTTTATTCTTGAGTCATAAACATTCTTTATATATTCTGGATACAAGTCCCTTACCAGATCTATGGTTAGCAAATATTTTCTCCCATTCTGTGGACTGTCTTCTCACTTTCCTGATGTTACCATTTGTAGCACAAGCCCTTGAGTTTTTTTATTAAGTTGAATTTATGGTTTTTGTTTTTGCTGTTTTTTTTTTTTTTGCCTCTTGTGCTGTTGGAATCTTTATTCCTCTTTTCTTCACTACTTCTAAATTTACCAGCACATCACTCCCAAAGAGTGTCCCATGCTTTGATCTTTTCCTACTCATTCTGATTTCTACAATCCAGGGTTTATCTTTCCTGTGTCCTTTTCCTTAAAAATCTTGCTGAGTAAAAGAATCCAAACTAACTGAATTATATTCATAAGTGAAACATTCTCATCATCAAAAATAATTATTCAGTGTTTACCTTGTAGAGAGGATTTGAAAACACCTTCAAAACATAGTCAAACCTTTAGGCACTGAAACAGTTACGGCAGTGTCTCTCTTGTTCTGAATGATTAACAGTTCTTAGCAGTGGTGTCTCAGTACGTTAACCGTCTTGTGAACTACGAGAACTACGAGAGCGATTTGTACTTGTAATCCTGTTGGGAGGCTTAGCACTTATTCCTGTTATCCTACACCAGCCAATGTCAACACTCAGGAAGACGCCAGCTTACTCCTCTCCTCCAGTTAGCAAACCAGACACACACCTAAAAGAAGCCTTCAGATATTTTAGTTCCCATTTCCCACACAGCAGTAAGCAACAGAAGTATTCTAATAGACAGTATTGACAGTATTTTGCATACTTCCTCAATCACTTCTCCTGAGTAACTGCACTAAAAAATTCAAACAACCTGATTTATAGTATTCTGGTTCAAAACTATACAGGTGGGAAGTTTATCCTCCAACTATATGACTCCTCTAAATACCAGGCCAGACTGCATACCTCCTGTTTGAGTTGAAACATAAAACCAAAAACCTATGGATCTTTGTAACTTGGAGGTATACTGGAAATGTATATTTATATAAATATATGTTTAATGTGATTACTTTATTCCAGCTTTACTGTTGTTTAAGGACTACTGGAAGTAACTAACATTATTTTGGAACTTTTTTAATAGGGTGATAGTGGTGGACCATTAATGTGCTACTTACCAGAACATAAACGATATTTTGTAATGGGAATTACCAGTTATGGATACGGCTGTGGTCGAAAAAATTTCCCTGGTGTCTATAGTGGGCCAGTCTTCTTCCAAAAGTGGCTGACAGATCACTTCTACCAGGCAAGCAATAAAGGCATATTTGACATAAATATTCTACTTGGACAGGTCCTTGTAGCTTTAGGTTCTGTTGTCTTACTAGCAACTCCATGAAGAAATTCTGAAGAATCTTTATTTTGCATCGTGTACTTTTCCATGTTCTACATAATGAAAATTATTTATTCTTTTCATAAGTAATTGCCCACTATGGAGTTCTCATGAGAACATTTTTTGGAATAAAAGGATTGTGACATAACAGATATGTGATTGTAAATTTGGCACTGAATCACATGCCTCCTTGATGTATCTTGATTGTTTTACTTTATAATCATAATTTTCCACTTGGAATACTTTCCTGGAGTTTGTATAAAACATTCAGTTAAATAAATATATATTTTATGCGTATAAATGTCAAATAGTAAAAAGTTTATAATTAAAACAAAAGCTGCTCTTTTAAGTTAGATTTTATTTTATTCAAAAATGTTTGTATGATATATTATTTTTGTATGATATTTTATTTTTTGAATTATCATCTTGTTTCTGGTTCTCAAAGGATATTTGGAGCAATAAGTATCTGCTTACTTATCAAATTCTAATTAAAACCATTTAATATTAATACTTTCTTTCCTATGCTGAGAATTGTGGTGCAAATACCCCCAAATAATTTATTCTTTATTTAGAAATGTATCTGTGACCTTTTCCCCAGCATTATAACCTAGCTTCTGAACCTTATTTTCTTGAAGCCCATGCTAAAAGTCTGTATTCCTTGGGCCCTTTAAGTGAACTGTGAGGAGAGGTAACTGAAAAGCATGCTGGAAAAGGATGGATGCCAATCTGGGATTCATTTTACCATGACTAAGAAAAAGTTGACTGGATTAATATCTACTATTAATCAACTCACATCTCCCTTAATCTTTGGAGAACCCATGTAGGAAAGGAGAAGTAATTATTTTCTCATCCCTGTTTTTCACATTCAGCCAGGTAAAACCACGTATTTTTGTTGTTGTTTTGTTTTGCTTAGCTTGACCTCATTTCAGGATTTAACTGAAAGCAAGCATGAGTTTTCCATCAATTAATTCCCCTGGGGATCATTACTGGTTTATCACTCAAGGGGTGGAAGACTGTGATTTTTATAGGCCTGTGAGCAACAGTGAGAGGATATTAACTGTTCTTTCTTGAAGGAGACCCTAGTTTACCCATTGACAAGGTTTTATAGGGAATTCGTTGGTAATGGTTATATAAAAATCAGTATAATACATTAGTCATTTCCCATTTTTCTACCTGACTCTGAGCCAAAGGAATCTGCATATTAGTAATATAAAGAAACTATTCTAAAATGTGTTGACAACACTGGAGGGGAAAAGCATAGCTTTTCACTTCAAAGGTATATCCTAATTACTCCTTAGGTCTGACTTTCTTTTATTTTTAATTTTGGGGGGAGGTAAGTGGGTTTATTTATTTGTTTATTCTTAGAGGAGGTACTGGGAATTGAACCCAGGACCTCATGCATGCTAAGCATGCACTCTACCATTTGAGCTGTACCCTCCCCTCTTAGGTCTGCCTTTATAATCACACAGGACTTACCATCTGCAACTTCTTATCTTTCTGGCCAGCTTAGTTCCCTTATTTCAGCCAACCAGAATTCAGTTATATAACATTTCTCCCCACCACAAGAGACCATTAAAGGATAGACTCTGGAATCTAAGACTGACTTTGTTTCAAATTTCATTCTGTTAATTTAGTAGTTATAAGAGTTTGGACAATTATTAATACCTACTTATGGCATTGTTGGGATGATTAAATACGTTGATTATACGAAGTTCTTGATACCTTGAAGGTGCTCAGTAACTGGTTACTGTTATTGTTTTCCCATCAGTGATTCACATGAGCCTTTTCATTGCATAGATCATTAGGCATTGGATAACTATCTTGTTACTTTCACCTGAAAAACTTAATAAGACAAAGGACTAGTTTCTACTTATACACTCAAAGGACTTGCTTCTAGTCCTACTCACATATACTGTTTTTTAACATAAAAGAAGCAGACTGACAGATACAGAGAACAAACTAGTGGCTACTGGGTGGAAGGGGGTGGGGGGCACAATACAGGGATGGGAGGTACAAACTACTGGATATAAGAAAGGCTCAAGGATGTACTGCACAACACAAGGAAAAGCGCCAATATTTTGTAGTAACTGTAAATAGAAAGCAACCTTTAAAATTGTATACAAATAACTTTTAACTTAAAAAGTATTCTATTTTTAAATTTATTTTTGTAATTCCTCAAATAGTATATCCTCATATTAACTGAAGGAATTACAGAAAACAAGTATAAAGAAAATCATCCATAGCCCTTCTATGCAAAAATAGCTACCATGAGTCCTGCCTATTTGACTTATTATAACAAGAATTTTTATAAACTCTTCTTAAGCATTATTTTACCCCAGCTATTTTGAAAATTTTCAATCCTACAGAAAAGTTGAACAGTAAGTACTATAACTGCCCACCTTTAGTCCCCAAATATTAGCATCTTGCCCTGTTTGCACACTATCTTTCTCTCTCTCCACACATGCTTTTTTTTGGTTGAACAATTTGAAAGTAAACTGCTGGAAGGACCTAGAGATTGTCATTCTAAGTGAAGTAAGGCAGACAGAGAAAGACAAATATCATATACCACTTATATGTGGAATCAAAAAAAAAAAGATACAAATCGATGTTTTTACAAAACAAATAGTCTCACAGACAGAAAACAAACCGTGGTTACCAAAGGGGAAAGGGGGAGGAGGGAGAAATTAGGAGCTTGGAATTAACATATATAAAATAGATAACCAACAAGGTCCTACTGTGTAGCATAGGGAACTATATTCAGTATCTTTTAATAGCCTATAATGGAAAAGAATCTGAGAAAGAATAGATATTATATATATGTATAACTGAATTATGGTACTGGACACCTGAAACATTGTAAATCAACTATACTTCAATTTAAAAAAAAAAACCCTAAAAAAATTTTTTTTAAATAAATAATTTTCCACCTCAAGAAACTAGAAAAAGAACAAATAAAACCCAAAGTTAGTAGAAGGATGGAAATCACAAAAACTAGAGTAGAAATAAATGAAATCGAGACTAAAAAGACAATAGAAAAGATCAAGGAAACTAACAGGTTTTTTTTTTTAAGATAAACAAAATAGACAAAACTTAACCAGAGTTATCAGGAAAGAGAGGACTCATATAGAACCATACATTAAAGGAGATTTTACAGGTGATACCACAGACATACAAAGGATTATGAGAGACTACTATGAGCAATTATATGCCAACAAATTGGTTAACCAAAGAGAAATGAATAAATTCCTAGAAACATACCACCTACCAAGATTGAATCATGAAGAAACAGGAGACCTGAACTAGTAAGGTCTACTACTAGTAAGGAGATGAAATGAGTCATCAAAAATCTCCCAATAAAGAAAGAAGACTTCACTGGTGAATTCCACCAAATATTTAAAGAAAAATTAATACCAGAAGTTCTCAAATTCTTTCAAGAAACAGAAGACGAAGGAACACTTGCAAACTCATTTTACAAAGACAGCATTACCCTGATACCAAAAGCAAGCAAGGAGAGCACAAGAAAGAATCTCTGCACTTCTAAAGGCATCGTTAAAAAGACAAGCCACAGACTAGGAGGAAATTTTTGCAAATCATATATGTGATACATGATTTGCACTCAGAATATACAAAGAATTCTCAAAACTCAGTAAGAAAATAACCCAGTTTAAAAATGTTGAAGGATTTCAACAGACACTTCAAAGAAGATACATGGATGGCAAATCCATTAAAAGATGCTCAGCATCATTAATTACCAGGGAAATGCAAGTTACAACTACAGTGAGAGACCACTGCACACCTTTTAGAATAGCTAAAATTAAAAAGACAACCATCCCAAGCATTGGTGAGGATATGGAGCAACTAAATTTCTCATACATTATTGGTGGAAATATAAAACAGTACAACCACTTCGGGGAACAGTCTGGCAGTTTCTTTTAAAGGTAAACATACACCTACCATGGGACTTATACATTCTACCCATAGGAATTTATCCTGGAGAAATGAAAGTGTATGTCCATACAAAGACTTGCCCACTAACATTCATATTAGCTTAATTTGTAATAGCGAAAAACACACAACAATCTGAAAGTCCATCAACAGGTTAATGGATAAACAAACCGTTACACAGCCATAAAATGGAATACTACTCAGCAATAAAATCAATGGATACATGCAACAATATGGATGACCGTCAATTATGCTGAGTTAAAGAAGCCAGACAAAAAAGGACATATTGTCTGATTCTACTTACATAAAATTCAGGAAAGGCAAACTAATCTCTAATGATAGGAAACAGATCAGTGGTGGCCTTGGAGTGGAGAGGGCAGGAAGGAGGAATCAAAGAGGCAGGAGGTATTTTGGAGGGTGACGGATATGTTATCTTGAGTGAAGTGATGGTTTCACAAGTATGTACATGTCAAAACTTAAACTATACATTTCAAATATGTATATGCATGTATGTCAATTCTGTCTCAAAAAAGCTGTTAAAATGGTACATAATATTTATAAAATATTTGTAAGGTATAACAAATAATGAAGCAACAGAACACTCCCTGTATCTATTACCTGGTTTTAAAAAAATAAATATGACCATTATTTTAAAAAATTTCTGTGTTCCCTGACCATCTTAAAGCCCAGGCTTTCTTGCTAAAAACAGATGGATGTTTGAAACTATTTTCTGAATACTTTAGGTTCCTAAATGTGAATACTCTGGGAACTATTTTTATATAAATTAGTAGTTGGACACAATTTGAAGGTTCAATTTGCCCTTTAAAAGATGGGCAGCCCCAAAACAGTCACTTAAAAGTGATCCCATCACTGAATTATGAACATATGAGAGCCTCCGCCAGAATTCAGAAAGGCAAATTCTTGTTAACGGTGGCCAGACAGGCATGCCCTTTCACTTCCTTATGAAACAGTGAGGTGGAGTCGGAGGGATGGGAGGGGAGTAGGAGGAGGAACACTGTAATAAAGGGGCTTTAGCAGGGGCCTTCCAGTGTTGTTTAACCAGGCTACACCCACGGCTTCTGTTTTCTTAGTAGAGGTCACTGGAGAACTCGCAGGGTTAAGGACACTGCATTTAAAACGCAGCAGGTAACTAGCAGTAGTCGCCAAACCCTGAGAAGGGGAAGCAAAAATAGGTTTGTAATAAGGGATTGCAGTCAGCGTTTCTTCTAAGGAAAAGCTGGGAACCTTCTCATTTTGCTTGAAGAAAACTAAGCTATGAGGCAACATTTGCCAAGCATCTATTAATTGAGGGAAATGGGCCTCTTGCCCAAGATCTGACTTCAGCCGCGTCTTTCCGGCACAGGCAGCTCTTCTTTCCTCTGCAGCTGATTGGCTCCAGAGTGTGGCCAGAACCCCACCCTCTTGCATTTAAAGGGGTCAAGTCTCTAACTGCTGATCTGTTTTCTTCTTTGAATGATGGCGCTTACCATCTCTGTCCTCCAGCTGGCCGTCTGCATCCTGGCATTTCCCATGTATCTGCTGAACTTCCTGGGCATGTGGAACTGGATATGCAAAAAATGGTTCCCCCACTTCTTGGCAAAGTTCATTGTGATTTACAATGAACAGATGGCGAGCAAGAAGCGGGAGCTCTTCAGCAACCTGCAGGAGTTTGCGGGCCCCTCCGGGAAGCTCTCCCTGCTGGAGCTGGGCTGCGGCACTGGGGCCAACTTCAAGTTCTACCCGCCTGGATGCCGAGTGGCCTGTATCGACCCCAACCCCAACTTTGAGAAGTTCCTGGTCAAGAGCATTGCCCAGAACCGACACCTGCAGTTTGAGCGCTTTGTGGTAGCTGCCGGGGAGAACATGCACCAGGTGGCGGACGGCTCCATGGATGTGGTGGTCTGCACCCTGGTTCTGTGCTCCGTAAAGAACGAGAAGCAGATCCTCCAGGAAGTGCGCAGAGTGCTAAGGCCGGTGAGTGCGGGGGTGTGAAGAGGACTGGTTAATAACAACCACTATCACCAAGGGCAGTCCTATCAATTTCACGTAACTCAAAACATCCTATCAAAAAGTAAAACTACTAGAGAAGACATTGTTGAAGTTTTTAAAAAATCTTAGGGTGGAAAAGAATCTATAAAGGAAAAGGCTGAGAATACATAAATACATAAAATATAAAACTCCTGCAGAGGAAAAAAAAAAAGGACGAGATACAAAGTACAAAAATGATGGGAAAAGTATTTGCCAGGGATGATAGACAAAGGGTTAACTTCCTTCATATTAAATGATGTCATAAATCAATAAGATCAATAGATTCTTCTATCAAATTTTTTTAAAAAAGAGAGCAAAGCACTGGAATAGAAATATAAATAAAAATAGCCAATTATAGGATTAAATGTTTACTCTTGCAATTAAAGAACAAATTAAAGCAAGAAATCACTTATATGGGGAATCTAAAAAATAAAACAAACGAATGTATATGACAAAACAGAAACAGACTAACAGATACAGAGAACACACTAGCAGTTACCGGTGGGGAGAGGGAAGCCGTGAGGGGGAAAATAGGGGATGGGATTAAGAGATGCAAACTATGTAGAAAATAAGCAATAAGGATATGTTCTGCAGCATAAGGAAATATAGCCATTATTTCATAGTAACTTTAAATGGAGTAAAATCTATAAAAATATTGAATCACCATGTTGTACACCTGTAACTATTATGTTGTAAATCAACTACATGTCACTTAAAAAGAAATTAAAACAAGATACCACTTTTACCTACTATACTATCAGAGACTTTTAAGGTCAATAATGGTCTTGGGGTGAGTTTGCGGGACTGGACATCCTAATTGAAGTGCTCTCTTCGGAGGGCAATTTGATAATATCAAATTTTAAACATACTTACTCTTTCATACAGTAGCTATACAAATGTGCAAAAATTTAGCCACATGCAAAGATATTTACTACATTATTTGTAATACCACAAATTGGAAATAACCTAAAAATCCATCAATAGGAGATTGTTAAGTAAACTGTCACATGGTATTAAAAGAAACTGTTCAGTTGTTAAAAAGAACAAAGAAGAGTTATCTGTGTTGATTAAAAACAAATTCTCAAGACATAATGTTAAATTTAAAAAAGCAATAAAAAAGCAATGAAAGCACAGAATATTATGTAGAGTATAAGTCCATTTCTGTGTTGTGGAGAAGAATATACCTACGTTAAGTACTTATATTAATGGGAATGACAGACAAGAAACTATTAACAGCAGTTAATGGTGGTTCCCTCTTGGGAAGGGAAATGAATGATGGGGAAGAATTATTTTTTCATTTTATACCTTTCTGTACAGTTTGAAATTCTTCACACCTGTATGTAATTTTCATATATTACCTTTACTATTTTGTTTAAAAACTAATTTAAAATAGTTTTATTCTAAACATAGTTGAACACAAAGTATGGATATCTTAACATTTGAATTTACTATTCTCGGAGAAAAGGATGTTCTGTTTTATTTTCTAATAAAGGAAGTTTCTCAGGAAGAAAAGGACTTGGAGATAGTGTTTACAGGCAATGACATACAGTCATCCCTCAGTTTCTTTGGGGTCCCCCCACCACTGCCACAGACACCAAAATCTGCAGACCCTCAAGTTCCTTATATAAAATGGCATAGTGTCTGCATGTAATCTATGTGCATCCTCCTGTATACTTTATTTTTTTAAACTGATGTATAGTTTATTTACAATTATGTATTAATTTCTGGTGTACAGCAAAGTGGTTATGTCATATACATATATATTCTTTTTCAGATGCTTTTTCATTATAGGTTATCACAAGTTACTGATTATAGTTCCCTGTGCTATACAGAAGGACTTTGTTGTTTATCTATCTTATATATAGTAGTATGTATCTGTTAATCCCAAGCTCCTAATTTATTCCTCTCTCCCTTTCCCCTTTAGTAACCATAAGTTTGTTTTCTATGTCTGTGAGTCTGCTTCTGTTTTGTAAATAGATTCATTTTTATCATTTTTTAAGATTCTACATATAAGTATTATCAGATTATATTTGTCTTTCTCTGTCTGATTTACTTTACTTAGTATGATAACCTCTAGATCCATTCATGTTGCTGCCAATGGCATTATGTCATTCTTTTTTATGGCTAAGTAATATTCCTTTGTGTGTGTGTGTTTGTGTGTGTGTACACATACTACATCTTTATTTTAAATCATAAATGCTGTGTAAATATAGTATAAACACTATGTAAACAGTTTCAGCATGTGACAAATTCAAGTTTTGCTTTTTGGAACTTTCTGGGTTTTTTTTCAAATATTTTCTGTCTGCAGTTGGTTGAATCTGAGGGTGCAGAACATGTGGATACTGAGGGCCAACTGTGATTCTGTCTTTGGCTCAAGGATAGGCCGACATCAAAGTAGTAAATGAAAAAGGTCTGATTCTGATACCCAAGTCCTGGGTTCTTGTGTCCTAAGACTGGGCACTGATGCGCAGTCAGTAGATGTTTTGCCTAGAGTGTCACTAATCTCACAGCACCCCTGCAAAGCAAGTAACTGTCTCCAGTTTACAGCACTGGTAGTCTCAAGGAGCTCATATTCTTGGTAGTCTTCCTTAGCTCCTGCGAAGCACCTACTCTCTGCTGAACAGAATCAGAGCTTTACTAAGTTCTCATTTAGCCCTCACAAGAGTCCTTTAAAGCAAGTACTGTCTCTGGGTTGGGCTGGGGAAACAGACTCAGTTAAGTTTAGAAATTTGCCACAAGTTACAGGGCTTCTAGGTCTAACTTTAATGCAAATATTCTTATCGCTGTGCCACAGCGCTTGTGACCAGGGCTTTTTATCTCTCTGACTTCAACCCTTCTGCCACTTTTGCTAGCTGCTCTTCCTCTGCCTGTCCCCTAAGCACTGGAATTTCTTTTTTGGCTCTCATTTCACTTACATACACCCCCTCGGCAATCTCACATGCCCCCAAAGTTTTCAGTTACCACAGATACACAGATGGTTTCCAAATCTCAGTATCTAGCCCAGATCTCTCTTCTGACCCCAAACCCTCACATCTAGCCATCTACCTGAGAGTTGCCTGAATGGGTAGAGGCATCTCTAGTTTAACCTGTGTATCCACCTCCCCAGGCCTGGGTCTCCTCTTCTCTCCTGTCCTATTTTGTGGAATTCTTTTTTTCAATCTGGAAATTTCAAGTTTTCCATTCATGAATACAGGTCTTACACTTACCTATAGAATGCGGGGGAATTCCATCTCTAAGCTCTCTGCCTGGGACAGCCAGGACTAGGGTGACTACAAGAGGCTGAGAAAAGTGGGACACTTACCACAGCCTTCGGAGGTAATCATCAGCCCCTTCCCCATACGCCCCCAGAGGCAGATGGTAGAAAACTTCTGAAGACCTGTTAGTAACATGTAGCCTCCATTATGTCCACACCTGACCTACGTTTATATGTCTGTCCTAATGAAAGCAGCAGTTACTAACCTCCCAGGCCAGCAATTTCCACAGTCTCCACTGATTGAATAAAATACCTAATGACAAAACATTATCATGAATTCAGTAACACTTTGAGATAATTTTAATTAATCCTATCACTTACATCCTTGTGACAACAGTACAAAAGTGTAAGACATGGTATTTAGTCTCAGGCAGTGCTTGGTATGGATTCAGACTCCCACAGGTTTGCAAGCAGAGCCTAAGAACAATTTTCAGATGAATTACAAGATTTTTTTTTACAGTAAAATAAGAAGTTTTAAAAATTGTAATTAAAAGACAAACAGCAAATGGGAAAATATTTGTAGTATACATAGTCTAATTATACTAAAAGCCCTTACTAATGGTAAGAAAAAAACCAACAGCCTATTAGAAAATTGATAATGGGTATCAACAGACAAATCAGAAAGAAATGCAAATAACCAATAAAGTTTAGTAAAAGATGTTAAGATTAAGATTATTAAAGACATGCATATCATCAAAAATGAAGTATCATTTTACATATCAAATTGACAAAGATACGGGGGGAAAAAGTATCAATGAGAGTTATGGATGGGAACTCACACTTATTGCTAGTATGAATGCAAACTGCTACAACTTTTCCAAAGGGCAATCTGACAACTTGTACCAACAGCTTTAAAAAGGTACAGACTTTTGATTTAGCAATTCCACTTTTTAGCAACTTATTTATTTGGAAATAGTTTTAGACAGTCACAAAGATTTATGGAGAAGGATGTTCACTGTAACAGTATTTATAATAGCAAAAAAAAGCCTAAGTGAGAATGGTTAAAGAGTTGATAACTTCAATGATGTGAAATATTGTGTAAAGATTTTTTAAGCCATGTTTTAGAATAATATTCAAATACATAAATAAAATAAAGCAGGTTATAAAACAATGTATATTCTAGTCCTAGTTTTAGGAAAAAACACATATTCATATAAAAGTACACAAAAAAATCTTAACAGTAGCTATCTCAAGGTGATAAAAGGTGACTGTTTTTCTTTTTAAACTTTTCTGTACTTTCTAAGTTTTCTACAATAAACATAATGATGAGACAGTACTGACAGCCTCTGGAGCCAGACCACTCAAGTTAAGAACCTGGTTCTGTATTTCCAGTCAAGACAGCAGAGTAGTAGGACCAAGAGCTCACCTCTCCTTATGACTACAACAAAACCAAAACTGACTGCTAAACAATCATCAAAAAAAAGACTGAAACGTAGCAAAAAAGATCTTCAGCTGTTAACATAAAGAAGCAGCCAGTGAGACAGCAGGAGGCGCGTGCTCACGATACAATTGGGCCCCATACCTCCTGGGTAGGCGATCCACAAGGAAGGAGAATTAAGTTGCAGAGGCCCTTGTACAGGAGTGAGAGTTCTAAGCCCCACGCCAGGCTCCCGAGCCCAGAGTTCTAGCATTGGGAGGAGAAGGAGACTCAGGAAATCTAGTTTTGAAGGCCAGCGGAGCTTAGCTCCAGGATCCCCACGGGACTGGGAGAGACAGAGACTTCATTCTCTTGGGTTGTGTACACAGAATCTTGCATGCACTAGGTCCAAGGGCAGAGGCAGTGATTTCACAGGAACGTGGGCAAGACCTCCCTGCTGGTTTTGGAAGATCTCTTAGGGACTTAGGGGATGGCTGGGCCTCTCCCAGGGGACATAAAACCTGGTGGTGGACATTCTGGGAGTGTTCATCTACATGAGCTTTCCTGCAGGCTTACATCTTGATTGGATCATTAGCACCAAGACCTACCCCCACCCTGTAGGCTTAAGGGCTGGGAAGCCTCAGGCCAAACAACATACTGGGTGGGAACACAGCCCCACCCATCAGCAACTTCCTAAGCCACAAACGCCTCTAGGCACAGCCCTACCCACCAGAGGTCCAGGATCAAGCTTCAACCAGCAGTGGGCAGGCGCCGGCTCTTCCTGCCAGGAAACCTGCATAAGCTTCTAGTCCAGCCTCATCCACTAGGGGCAGATACCAGAAATAAGAAAACAATCCCAAAGCCTGTGGAAGGAATCCACGCAGGCCAGACTCTACCCTGGGACTGGCTAGACCCTGGCCCTTGGGTGACAAGAGAGGAGTGTACTGCTGGGACACATAGGATATCTCCCACAGAGGGCCACTTCTCCAAGGTTGAGAAATGTAACTAACCTACCTAGAAATACAAATAGAAAGATAGACAATATGAGACGGCAGAGGAATATCTCCCAGGCCAAGGCACAAGATAAAACCTCAGAAGAAATAATGATGAGGATATTGGCAATTTATCTGAGAAAGAGCCTAAAGTAATGATGGTGAAGATGTTTGGAGAACAGAGTGAAGTTTTTAGCAGAGTTAGAAAATATAAAGAATACCCAGAGTTGAAGAATAAAATCACTGAAATGAACAACATACTAGAAGGAACCAAGAACAGACTAAATGAGGCAGAAGAACAGATCAGTGAACTAGAAGACAGATTGTGGAAATCACCACTTCAGAACCAAAAAAAGAAAAAAGAATGAAAAGAAATGAGGATAGTTTAGGAGAACTCTGGGACAACATGAAGTGCACTAATATTCGCATTATAGGGGTCCCAGAAAGAAAAGAGAGAAAGGACCTGAGAAAAATTTTAAAGAGATAATAACCAAGAACTTCCCCCAGTTGGGAAAGGAAAGAATCACCCAAGTCCAGGAAGTGCAGAGATTTCCACACAGGATCAACCTAAAGGCACATAGTCATCAAATTGACAAAAATCAAAGATAAGGAGAAAATATTAAAAATCAACAAGAGAAAAGGAACAAATAACATACAAGGGAATTCCCATAAGGTTATCAGCTGATTTTTCAGCAGAAACTCTACAGGCCAGAAGGGAGTGGCACATTATATTTAAAGTGATGAAAGGGAAAAACTTACAACCAAGAATACTCTATCCAGCAAGGCTCTCGTTCAGATTTGATGGAGAAATCAAAAGCTTTACAGATAAAGCTAAAAGAATTCAGCACCACCAAACCAGCTTTACAACAAATGTTAAACGAAATTCTCTAGTCATCAAACCATAAGAGAACAAAAAGAAGAAGGGGGAAAAAAAAAGACTTACAAAAGATTGCTTTAGCTGTTTGGGGTCTTTTATGGGTCCATATAAATTTTACAATTGTTTGTTCTAGTTCTGTGAAAAATGTC